GAGGGCTCTTCCCTCCAATTCCCCAGAGCTGAGGGGCAGGGCCAGCATCTCGGGCTGGTGACCGGTGCAGCCACACAGGGCTCAGAAGGCCTGCGCTTGGTTTAACACTTGGCTGCTGCCGTCCTGAATTCTCAGTAATTTTTGAATAAGGGGCTGCCTTTCATTTTGCAGTGACTCCATGAAGTATGCACTGGTTCCGCTGAGGACTGTGAGCTTCCTGGGGGAACACGTCCCCTCCTGGTAGAGCTGTAAGAGCTGGGCTGAGGCGCAGGGTCCAGGTGCCGGTCCTGCGTTTACTCCTCATTCACCCAATAGTGAGTTGCAAGATTCATCCTCATTTTACCGATGAGATAAATCAAGGCTCAGAGAGGCCATGTCACTTGCCCAAGGACTCACAGCTCATGAGCCTGGATTGAAGGAAGCTGACTCTGAAATTTGGACATTCTGTGGTCCTTTCCTGGCTGAAACCGTAGGGGCTTTGGTAAGGGCCTTAGTTCACCCTTTTATTGGTGAACTAAGGCTCAGTCTTTGCATCTGAAAAATAGAGGTAGTGAAAGTAGCCGCCTGTGCAGAAACAACTGGTGTTTAAATCCTGGAACGTTCCTGGCACGTGGCTACCTCCTGAGACAGCAACTACAGCCTTTCTGAGCCTCCATTTTCTCATCTGTTAAATGGGGATCATGGTGGTACCTGCCTCACCGGACCCTTATGGGAATTTAATGACACAGGACGTGTGCTTAGCTTAGGGCCTGGCACAAGTAGGTGGGCAAGGCCAGGACACAGGAGCTTCTGGGCCAGAGGAGGGAGTGATCTATGAGTAGGGAAACTAGGATTTATTGTCCAGACTGGGACACTTTGAGAATGAAAGGAGCTTGACAAAAAGCATAAACGGGGATTGTCGTGGGCAAGCCAGGATGGAGGGTCACTCCACCTGTGTGTCAAGTGTATCCTTGTCAGGATTGTCTGTTTCATAAAACATGTTCACAGATAAGTGAGTGTAAGGATGCCCCAGGCCCACCCCCAGCTGGTGTGGAGAAAGACTGTGTTTGGGTTGAGTGCAGTGGCTCATGCCTGTAATCCCAGCACTTTGGGAGGCTGAGGCGGGTGGATCACCTGAGACCAGCCTGATCAACATGGAGAAACCCCATCTCTACTAAAAATACAAAATTAGCCGGGTGTGGTGAAGCATGCCTGTAATCTCAGCTATTTGGGAGGCTGAGGCAGGATAATCGATTGAACCTGGGACATGGACGTTGCGGTGAGCCGAGACTGTGCCATTGCACTCCAACCTGGGCAAAAAGAGCAAAACTCCGTCTCAAAACAAAAAGATTGTGTTCGAGCCTGGGCCATAGAGAATGATGTCCCTTGGGCTGGGCATGATGGATAATGCTGGTAAGCCTAGCACTTTGGGAAGCAAAGCGAGAGGATAACTTGAGGCCAGGAGTTCAAGACCAGCTTAGGCAATATAGCAAAACCTTATCTCCAAAAATTAAAATAAAATAAAATTTAAAAAGGGGAGGGGGAGAAAAAGAAAGAGTAGTGTCCCGCTTACCACTGCTACTGCTACCAAGGCTTCAGTTCTGAGAAAACAACGTCAGGGAGAATGACTTAAAGGCCACGGTTCAGGCCCCTTCTCAGATATTTTAGAAAATTCTTTGGATTACACCAGCAATGCATGTAATCCAAAGAATTTGGATTCTTTGGTTGTGTAGACTGAAACTCACAGTCACATCTAGGAAAAGCGGCTTTTACTGAATTGCAGTTTGGGGCAGTGCTGTCCGTCAGTGAGTGTTTGGTGCCTCCCTTAAAACATTCAGGAACTGGAGGCCCCGTTCCGTGATCAGATCCCCCATGTCTTCTCTCCACACGCTTCTGGAGACAGTCCTCCTGCTCCTAGCATCAGGAGGCCTTGCCATTCCCCCTGAGTGGGTTTGCTTTTTCACAAGGAGCGTGTGACTCATATAACTGGGTCCCCCTTTCAGGAAGCTGGGGGTCCAGTGTGTGGTCCAGACACTGTCAGCATTTAGGACATTTTTTGTCCCCTGCATTTCACCCTTAGCCGTGGCTCCATTTTCTGTCTCTACCCATGTTTCCCTTCCTTCTTTTACTTTATGTTCCCTGTATAAGTGAGCCTCTTTTGAACCTCCCACCATCCACAGCTGCATCACGCCAGTATATAAGTGAACAAAAATAAAAAAATCAACAAATCTGCAAGCAAAAACGTATTGTGGCACCCCTCCCCAACCCAGGAGAGCAGCTTGGATGGCCTGGTGGGGGTCGGCTGGCAAGGGGTTAAGAATGATGCAGAGGAAGTGCTGGCTGAGATTAAAGGGAGGAAGTGGCTGCTGCCTGGGGAGGGAGGTGGCTGGCTCGTCCTGTGTGACTCCAGGGGCCTAAACCAACACTGACATGAATGTGGCAGGTTGCTCAAGGTCAGTTTAGAGAAAAAAAGGAAGAGCTTTCTAAAGACTTGACAAGTCTTTCTAGAAGTTCTGCTAGTGGGGGTTTCAAACTCACTGATAGCTGACTCCAGACATAGCTCTCTTTAAACATAATAGCCAAAGGGCAGGTTTGTTGGAGCCAGTCTCTTCATGTTCATAGAGTGACCGGCGGACCCTGATTTGCTGGGACATTCCAGTTTGAGCACTTTACAGTCTGCATCCCAGGACACCCCTTGGTTTCTGGCAAACCAGGACAACTGGTCGGTCACCCTATGCACCCTACATATATGATCTCACATGAAATCTTTACATTGACCCCCCTTACAGACAAGGAGTCTGTGATTTGGTAACCCAAGATTACATAGCATGGGAAGGGCCGAGCTGGGATTCATGTGTGGATTTGCTGTAACTGAGTGAGGCTTAAGCTCTCAGCCACACTGACCCACTTCCCTTTTCCTGTAAGATGAGGGTATAAGACCCCTTGATCCTAAAGCCTCTCCAGCAATGACTTTTAGGATTCTGGAATTTCCTCTGGTCTTCAAGCAGCTTTATGTTTTCCATGGAAGGTGGGGTGGGGTAGGGTGGGGGGCAATGTTTCCAGCAAGACCCCTCCTGGGTCAAGGCTTGGGCTTTGCCTTGGGAGAAGTGACAGCCTGGTGACGGGGTCAAAAGGAAGGGCAGCCTGCCCCTCCTTCCCTGTGCCTGGGAACAGGGTGGGATCTCATACTCCACCGTCCTGATTGCTGGCAGTGGTGCCAGTCCATTTGTCAGCTGCCTGGGCTGGAGCCAGGGAATTCCAAGGGGCCAGAGCCTGCCTGAGCACTCCAAGGCCTCTGTGCTCGGGGCTAGCAGCCTAGGCAGGAGGACCCTGGGGCAGCTCAGGGCTCTGGGATGTTTCAAAGCTCCATGTGGCTGGACAGGCCTCTGCAGCCCCCCCTGCCTTGGGAGTCTGGCCAGCCTGTGGAGACTGTGCAGAGGGGGAGTGATTTGGAGTCTCTGAGTAGCCCAAGGCAATGAGGTAGGGTTGCGAATGTGCAAGGTGGGGACAGATGCACAGGTGGGGACAGCTGATACGAGATCGCAGGGCCCCACGTGCAGCAGGCAAGCCACAGAACATGAAGGACAGTGACTGTCACTGAAGACGTGGACTCTGGAGTCAGGACAGCGCAGATTCAAACCTCCCCTCTGCCCCTTCCTACTGTGGGATCTTGGGCCAGTGCCCTTGCTTCTCTATGCCTTAATTTCCACATCCGAAAAATGGGAATGAAAATATCTACCTTGAAGGTTTGTTGTGAGTGAAGGCACTGAGTATGCCATCGGTGCCTCATAAGCAGGGGGTGGATTCCATCAGCCCCAGACTCTCAGTTTTGGTTCCTCTCACCCCAGAGCTGCACCCGAGGACCCCGTGACAGTCAGCGGGTGAGGGCTGTTCCCCGTGGAGAAGCTGTGCTGGCGGGATGTAAGGGAAGTCCTAGGGAGGAAGGAGTGCTTTGTAGCGAAAGAGGCCCGTCAGCCCATCCATGATGCTTGGAAGTGCTGTGATAAGGGTATAGATGCCTTGGGTTCCCACAGGTCTGAGTTCAAGTCCTGGCTCCACCAGGCACTGGGTGGTGATCCTGATCTCATTCCTTTCAGAGCCTCAGTTTCAACATCTGTGGAATGGGGTAATGTTCTTCCGCTCCTCAGGCCAGGGGGAAGATGGGTTGTCAGGACACAAGGAGATGAGGGGAAGTCAAATTCACAGCTAAGTGCCTGGCACGTAGCAGGATGGCTCTCTTTCCTCCTGTCACCTTGCTGCCTGCTCTGCCTGGATTTGTGCACGTGAGGCTGGGAGGAGCAAGGGGATGCTTGTGAAAAGCACACCCCAGGCAGAGGGACCTGCAAGAGCAGAGGCCCAGGTACTTTGAACCATGCTCAGGGGTACTAGGCTCCTTGAGCACAGGGAGTAGTTTGGTTTGGAAGGACTTGGCCTCGGAGGTCCCCCCAGCAGTCCCTCCCTGCCCCTAGCCTGGGACTTCCCATGAGTCCTGCAGCCCTGTCCTGGGCCTTGGGTTACTGACCTCATTTGGGCTGTCCAAGGGGAAGGGAGGCTAATGCCCATGCTCAGTGGCCCACGCTTCCTCCTGTTGCCTCTTGTCTCCACCAGCTCTCCCTCTCTGTGCTGCCTTTTCCCCTTAGCATCCTTTCCCTGGCACTTTATGTCTTTTTAGGAGGCAGGGTCTTGCTCTGTTACCCAAGCTGGAGTACAGTGGTGCAATCATAGCTCACTGTAGCCTCGACTTCCTGTGCTCAAGCAATCCTCCCACCTTAGCCTCCTGAGTAGCTGGGACTACAAGGTGTGTGTCACCACACCTGGCTAATTTTTAAAATTATTATTATTTTTTTCCTACAGACATGGTCTCTTTGTGATGCCCAAGCTGGTGTTGAACTCCTAGCTACAAGTGACCCTCCTGCCTCAGCCTCCCAAAGTGCTGGGATTACAGGCATGAGCCACCCTGCCCGGTCTCCCTAGCACTTTTAAGCGTTAATATCTCACACGCACACATACACACATTCACGTCAACTACTAACTGGATGTGACATATTTGGAATGGTTTTGGCATCTGAGTCCCAGTCCTGCTGCATTCTGCTGTATAACTGTGTCCAAAAGCTCCTTCCTCTTTGTGTGTGGGCCTCTGCTTCTCCACCGTCATCACGACATTGACTTCAGTTCACTGGGGGAGAGTTGAAAGCAGGACCCTGATGGTGGAATTGAAGGCATAGCAGCAGCGTGTATCTGGCATCAATTTGCAGTGGGGGTTGCCTTTCCAGAACCCCAACACCAGACCCCAGAGACTGCTCCTTCATCTGCACCCTGCTTATCTCCTGGGCGGGGGGTGGGGAGGCGGTCTTCAAACTTACCTGCCTCACACACATGTCCTGGGATGTGCCTGGTAAGCTACAGGTTCTGGCTGCCCCTCAGCACTGCCTCCCTCCTATCTCTGCCTACTCCCCTGCTGAAAGGCCCTGGGTCCATGAGGCCCAGGGATGGGGGACTCAGTGTTACCATGGCAATCATAGCTTATCTGTGGCATCACGGACTCCAGGGGAAGATGGCTCTCAGCCCCCAGGACTGGATAGTATGGGCCCCTCTCTGTGACCTGGCTTCTCCCGTGAAGACCCATCTGAGTATCTCTGGTCCTCACTCCTCTGCTCACTCAAGACCTTTCTTGGAGCATTGGTGGTTGCCATGGAAATGGCTCTGGAAACAAACCAGTCCTTGTGGGCTGAGGAAAAATCCTCAAGAAAAATAGAGATTGCTGGGCTTCCCGGGTCTCTGATGGGATATCCTGACGCCTGGAGCCTCCAAAAACTGCACTTTCTGGGTCAGCCTGGAACTGGCAGAAGGGCCCTCAGTTCACCAGGCCTCTTGCTATTCTCCTGCCTCCAGCTTCTCCTCTTCAATATAGCCCTCACATCAGCCACCCAGGTTAGAAGCTGGAATCTTTTTAGAAAGATGGCACCCTCTGCTTAAAACCATCCATGGCTCCCTATTGCCCATAGGATGAAGTTGATGGCTTGCAGGGATCTCACAATCTGAAACTCTCTTCTTTCCTTAGCCACATCTCCTGCCTTCTCCCCTCCCCTAAGACAAACACACACACACACACACACACACACACACACACACACACACACACACAGCCCCTATCCACATTTTATCAAGCCTCTGTGTCTCTGCAGGTATGTATATCATTTCCCTCGGCTGCTCCATCTGGCAAAGGCTTTATCCTCTCCAAGGCTCAGCTCAAATGCCACCTCCTCCAGGAAGCATCCCCTGATTCCCCCAGCCCTTTCCCTTTACTTTGTGCAGAGCCAGGGCCACACACTCAGTGACCAACAGGGCCAGGCAGGAGACCCAAATGACCCATTTATGAACATTTTTCATGTCCACAAAGAAATATGTGCTCTCCTATGAAAGCTGAAAGTGAGAATGTCTTGGTTCTTCTTTCTCTCACTGGATTGCACTTATTTCTGCCACAGCAGAGGCCCTGGACAAACTCAATGGCAAATTGCAACTGGCTTATTACCCCAGGGGAAAATAGGGAGGGGTGGGGACTGTGGATAACACTGTTCTGTAATGCAAGCCCAGCATGGCCAGTTTGCTGGAAGCCTGGCATTTAGGTGACGTCTCAGAATACTGACTGTGCCATGATCTGTTCCTGCACCCACTTTCTCTACATGAAGGTAGTGGCTGGGCCATCTTACTCCCACAGCATCTGGCAAGGAGTGTGACCCTTAGATGTTGCCCACTACTGGCTTTTTTTTGGAGATGGAGGTCTCACCCTGTCACCCAGGCTGGAGTATAGTGGTGCAATCATAGCTCACTGCAGCCCTGAGCTGCTGGGCTCAAGCGATCCTCCTGCCTTTGCATCTGCTCTTCCCACTGGCTACCATGCTCTTCCGCATCACCAGCCCATGTCTCCCTCTCTGTGTATTCAGGTCTCCATTCAGAGGTGGAACAGGGCATAAATGCTGGCAGAGGGGAATTCTATTTTAGAGAGAGCACTCCAAGAAGCCTCTCTGAAAAGATGACCCTCTTCATATTTTATTCACAGCACAAATCACTGCCTGCTATTATATTCATTTTATTTTTTCGGCATTTACATAGAGCTTCAGATGAACCAAGCATGCTTCTAAAACATTACCAACATAAACCCATTACCAACATTTAATCCTTGTAACAACTCTGTGAGGGAGGAGCAATGATGACTTCTATTTTCCAGATGAGGAAACTGAGGCACAGAGAGGTGTAGTGACTTGCCCATGGTCACACAGCAGAACTGGGATTCAAACTCAGGCAGTCTGGCTCCAGATGTGTTTGCTTTCCTTATTATGTGATTGTTTACTTGACTGTTTAGCATCTGTCACCCCTGACAACCCCCCCACCCCAACTCCAAGGTCAGGGATGTGTCTGGTTTGTTCCCTGCTGCAACCCCAGTACTCAGATCCAGGCCTGGCTCATAATAGGAATTTAATGACTATTTCTTGGAAGGATGGAGGAAGGGAAACAGGAGGATTAGAGGACTGGAAGGAAGAATCTTTGGCCTTCAGAGCTGAGCCCAACGTCAAGATTGTCTTGTCGGAAGCTTCTCAGCCTCCTGAGGGATTTGAGTCAGCCTGTCTGGAGGGGCCCCTGCCCTACCCGTCCTCACCCTCCAGTAGAACCTCTATTTTCTGACCTCTCCCAAGAAGAGGTGCCAAACCTCATTCCCAGCTCCCTGGGCCCACGCTGAGCACACTTCCTACAGTGACAGGAGCCCTGGAGGGGAACAGTCAAGACGGGGCAGGAAGTCTCCAGAACAAGGTGGCCTGCTGTTGAGGGAACAGGCTGTTGAGCGGCCAGCGAGAGGTCCGGGCGGGGCTACGCTGGACCAGATGTGCTCAGGGAATGAGCAGAGGAGAGAGCTGGGAAGGGGCTTGTGCCCTGCCAAATTCTCCTGGGACCCTAAAACAGTGGGCTTCACTGTGGGAGCGGTAGAAACACATCTCAGTTTCACCCTGTGAAAGAAATTGCCTTTCCCTATTAACGCAGTGGCTGTGGTGGTGACAAGCACTTCACCAGCCTTGTTTCATTGAATCCTCACAACTCCTTGAGACAGATGCTACCCAGGAGGCTCCTGAGGCTGAGAGAGGTAAGTAACCTATATGACGTCACACAACCAGGAAGTGCTGGAGCTAGATCCGAAACCTAGTTCCAGACGATATGTAACATGACTCCATGGAAAACCAAGGGAGGAGAAGCTGGAAGCCCAGCCTGGGGCTCCGGGTTCTACCCACGTGCTCACTTGCTCACTTCACTGACTCTGAATCTCAGTTTTGTCATCTGTGAAATGAGAATGACGGGAAAGTGCCATTGTGTGTGACCTGAAGAAGGGCTGGCTGTTTTTCTAGGTGTGCCACAGAGGTTGTTTTCCTTCACCATCATGGTATGTTGGGTGGTCCACATGCCCCAGAAGTGGAAAAAGAGACTTGGAGGTGTGGAGAGCGGGTCTAGGTCACCCAGCCATGGCCACCTCCTTGTTAGGTGTTAATGCCCTGTCCCGACTGAGGCCAGACAATAGCTTGGTTTCAACTGAGGGACTTGAGTAAAGTGAAACATGCTTTGCAGAGCCTCTTGCAGAGGATGTAGGGATGCCGGGGAGGTGGAGGCCGAGCTGAGGATGGGAATGGCAGAAGCCATGGCTTCCTCATCCAGCCAGGGGCAGAAGGGGCCTGGGAGGAGGCCGAGAAGCATCTCCGTCCTGCGGCTTGGCTCTCCTCCCGAGGCTTCTAGACATTATCCAGGCTACTCTCTGAGCTCTGTTAATTTCTGGAAACAAAGCCCTTTCCTTTGGGCAGAATCAGCCAGCTGGACTCAGCCTTGTCCTCTCTATTGTGGCACAGGGGCTCACGGAACATCACAAGCTGGGTTTTCTATGCAGACATTTGCTGACCTCCTGCTGTGTACCAGGTGCCATGTCCACATCACTGTGTCATGACACGCTCATGCTCACCCCAGGAAGGAAGTACTAATAGACCATTTTACAGATGGGGCTCAGGGAGGAGAAGCAATTTGTCCACTGTCACTGAGCTAGGAAAGGTCTTTGAACCTGGTCTAGCTGACTCTCAAGAGTGGGCTCTTAGCTGCCGTGCAGCTTGGAATGAGAGATGCATCACACAACCTTGTTGCAGGCAGCCAGGACCCCAGTCTTGCTCTTGGAGTGGTGGGACAGATGGAACGTAAATCAATCTTGAACCTCTGGCCCAGAGATCTTAGAGCTGTCAGGATCCCAGAAGATCCCTTTATCCAGACCCTCCCGCTGACCCAATTTCCTGAAAGGAAGATTTTATTATTGCCATTTCGTAGGTGACTCCAGTGCAGCTCAGAGAGGTAAAGCAACTTGCCCAGGATAACACAGCATGGAGCAGAGTCGTGCTGTGTTTTTATATTGGCCCCATGGCTGGAAATAGACACTTGGTTCATTCAGTTATGGTGTCTTTTGAAAGCTGAGAGGGAACTTTGAGATAACTCCAACCCTCCTTGTTTCGTAGATGGGGAAATTGAGGGACCAAAGAGTCAGGGATATATTTAAGGACATTTGCTAAGTAGAGCCTGTGTGTTACAAAAGAAAGAGCATGAGATTCTTCATCTGGGTTCAAATTCCACCGCTGCCCTTCACCAGCCACATAACCTTGGTAAGACATTTATTTTTTTTTGAGATGGAGTCTTGCTCTGTCGCCGAGGCTGGTGCAGTGGTGGGATCTCAGCTCACTGCAAGTTCCGCCTCCCAGGTTCACACCATTCTCCCACCTCAGCCTCCTGAGTAGCTGGGATTACAGGTGCCCGCCACCACGCCTGGCTAATTTTGTTTGTGTATTTTTAATAGAGATGGGGTTTCACTGTGTTAGCCAGGATGGTCTCGATCTCCTGACCTCGTGAGGCAAGACTCTTAACCTCCCTGGGGCTCAGTTTCTCAGCTCTAAAATGGACATTATAAGGGTCACTGTCTCATGGGGTTGGGTGAGATGATGCTCAAAAAGGGCTTCTCAATGTCCTAGCACACATAGTAGGTGTTCACTAGAATGTAGTTACTACGGTGGTTATGATTGATGTTATTTAACGCAGACACGCTAGGGTCTAGTGCTCCTTCACAGGATGGCCTGCTGCATCTAGTATACCTGGCCAGGGCTCTTGTGTGAGTCTGGGGGGCCTGGTGCAATGTTCTTCTCATTCATCTGCCAGAGCAACAGAGAAGGAAGGAGAGAGGCATGGACTTAAACACAAGGGCTGCCGAGCAGATGAGTCTGGGTTCTCCACCTCCGCGCCCTTCTCCCTGCCCCCTGGCAGATTGGGACCCTGTGGCTGGGGAAGTTGCTTGAGTTGCCACTTTCTAGGTATCTCAGGGTGCCAGAGAAGAGAAGCAGGGGCAGAGGGTGAGCTGTGCTGACCTGGTTGTAAGGCATGGGGGGCCTCCGCCACCTCCTAGAGTTGAGACTCC